AGAGCCACTGAAGCCATGCACACTCATGCATCACACTGCTCCATGCGTCACAGATGATGTGTGTGCTTTGATCATGAGCTGTTCCAAGCCTTCTCCAGACTTTTTTCTTCCCGTCATTCTGGTACAGGTTGATCTTAATTTCAGCCGTCCAAAGAATGCTTTTCCAGAAGTGCTCTGGCTTTTTTAGATGTTTTTTGGCAAAGTCTAATCTGGCCTTGTGTGCAGCATGTTGTGAAACCTCTGTATTTGCTCTGGTGAAGTCTTCTCTTGATTGTAGACTTTGACAGAGACTTGTCTGCCTCCTGGAGAGTGTTCTTCTCTTGGCTGGATGTTGTGAAAGGGTTTTTCTTTACCATGGAGAGGATTCTCCGATCATCCACCACTGTTGTCCTTCATGGACGTCCAGGTCTTTTTATGTTGCTGAGCTCACCAGTGCGGTCTTTTTTTCTCAGAATGTACCAAACCGCTCCTAATGTTCCTGCTATCTCTCTGATGGATTTGTTTTGTTTTTGAAGCCTAACAATGGTCTGTTTCACTTGTATGGAGAGATCCTTTGACCGCATGATGTGGTTCACAGCAACAGCTTCCAAATGGAAATGGCATCACGTGGTTAGGCAGTTAATCGCCGCAGAAATTGCACTTGTATGGAGAGCTCCTTTGACCGCATGATGTGGTTCACAGCAACAGTTTCCAAATGCAAATGCCACATTAAGAATCACCTCCAGACCTTTTAGCTGCTTAACTGATGTAGAAATAACGAAGGAATAGCCCACATCTGTCCATGAAATGGCTTTTGAGTCAACTATCCAATTACTTATCCCTTGAAAAAGGGGGGAGGTATATAATAAAGAGCTGTAATTCCTTAACCTTTCATCCAATTTTGATGAGAAATTAAAGCTCAGAGTGTGCACTTTAAGCCTATATTCATTATATAGCTGTAACTTGAGTATGTTTTGGTCAACAGCTAAAATAATAAAAATTGTGCCTGTGTCCAAATATATATGGACCTGACTGTTTAAAGTATAACCACACAGGTTGACATGATAGAAATTTTAAATCATTACTATCATGACTATAGTAATGATAAAAAAAACCATGATTAAAATAGCTATAGTGCTCTCCATAACATAAATAGTCAATAACAGTAACAATTATGACTTTTCTTGGGGGATCTGATGGCTTGTCTGTTTTCTTTAAATGTCACATCAGTAAAGATTAGGATGTTATTATGGCAGTCCTTCAAAATGCATCATAGCTGATATTGGCCAGCTACAGCGGTTTAAACAGACAGCAGTTTCTTCAAGACATAATAAGCAACTTGTTGAAGTGACTCCCACATTCACAGTTGGTGGAACTGTTGAAACCACTAGATAAACAGTGCTGGCCACAGGTTCACACAGACTCAGTGTAATTTACAAGCACACTCTGTAGGGACATTTCTCAGCGTAACAGCAGGAGAGTTGTGGATCATTTCTGTGACTGGAAGCTTCAGATGAAGGGCTTCAGTCTCTGATTACAGGCTCCTGTAAAGGCATTTAAGTGCATTTCAATATCACAGTTTTTCACAACAGTTACACGTTTGCTGAATCTTTGGCTCATTGTCCCAAAAGCCAAAACTCTAAACACAGAACCACAAACACAAAATGCAAAACTCTGCAAATCTCTAGCAAATGCAAATACTTAATCCAAAATCTCTTAATCTCCATTTGTATTTATTTTTTTGTGTCTTGAGTAAATTGAAACTTTATGCAAATGAAAAGCAACTTTTGGGAGTCAACCAATATGATTGAAGCAGGAAAAATGTATCCTTTCTGTTAGGAATTAAAGCAAACAAGTCTATATGCTGTCCCACACTAAAATAAATAAATCAATAAACAGCGGATGTTGCAAACATTTAATGATCTATTCTTCATAGTAAAATTACACTGAATTTCTTATTTATCTTTTAGATTTGATATATGGACATATCATTAAAATTCATAACCTTATCAATTGTGTACATCCTTTTTCTAATAGGCTGAGATGCTTATTCCATTATTATAAAAGAAACGAGACTGATTCATAAATTCAGGTATGATTGTGTAATATTTTGAATACTTTGAACACAGTGTTTGTACCACACTGGAGTTGACTAATAGGTCAAGTTTTATTATATACTATTCTTTCATCTGTTTTGTAGTAATCTTTTAATGGGCAGCATTGTAAAATGATCTGAGAAATAACAGATTGAAGCAATGCTAAAAAGACTGGGCTTCAGTCAAAAAAACATGCTGATTTTCCATCTTGTAGTACGATACAATTCATAGACACACTGGAGATATTTATATATAAATGGCTGCCCAACAAATTATTCATTGTATCAGCCTGTATTAGAAAAAGATTCACTGTCAAAATGGTTTGATACGGTATAGATAAAGATTAGCTGTAGCTGCGGAATGGTTGCTCTGCTCATGTTATTACTGGCAACAGTAAAAATGCATATAGCATCTTGACCGCTGATAAGCAGCCCGCAGCAGCAAAGTCACTGTGTGGACGGGGCTTGAGAGTTGGGTCACTATAATACAGTACTACTGCACTATGAAAACTATTTATTAGTCATTTTCATAGTGCAGTAGTATTTAGCAGAAACAAATATTGTTATCCCCACAGTACACTGGAGTGTTTACCAGCTCTTGTGTTTCATTAATTATTTTTAAGGCGTGTGCATGCCTCACGAATCCAGACATTAACCTTTAGAGCAGGATGGCCACAACGATTCTTTACACTTGTCATGATGATAAGTGCTCTCACTACTAAATGAAAATTTCTCAAAGGTCAAGAGGCTTATTTACAAAGTTTTTCTGACAACACAACCCTCTACGGATACTTTGGCAATTGAATCGTCATTGGCTAGTACAACTTAGTAGAGCCTCTTACTGTATTCTCAGCACAAGGAAGACACATGTCTTCCTTTATAAATGTTATTAACAAAAAATAAACAACAACAAGAGTAATCAACAACTACTAATAAATGAATACCATGCATGAAAAGGAGTAAAGCACATAAGATGTACATATAAAATTATTAAGTTGTATATTTTAAGATAAACTGTTGCTTCTTTTAGACTAATAAGGCCAAGAAACTTATCATCAAACAAATAAACGAAGATTATTTGTTATTAACTGACATAAGCTATATAACATCTAATGTAAAATAGAAAATCATATACTGCTAATATACAGCAATGTCAGTGTTGGACAGTTTGTTTGTTTGTGTTAGTCCACCAAGTTCCAATCAAAATGTTGCAAACCTTTGTTGACTATTGTTGTCAGAGAAGAGCCCTGCAATAAAACTGGGCCCTGGAATGTGCTGTCCACCGCAGATCCTTCAATTTGAGACGTCCTTCGATGGAGCTTGATGGTGTGGCAGCCTAGATATGCAGTTTCACAAGGATGTGTCCTTCCATTTGAGAAGCACCCAATGTGAACCAGGCCTACGGGGTGCCTGAGGGTGTTAAACAACCTCAAACGAAAGCAAGAGCACCCGTAGTTAAAGCTGTAATAGCATATTGGCGAAACAGATATGGCAAATGATTCAGTGTGTGTTTGCACTCTGGAGAGCATCAAAGGTTTCTGTTTACAGCAGTACTACAACATTGTTTTAATACTACAACAATGTAGCCAATCACAGACATATCTTTTGATTTTTTGAAAGCAATAGCCAATCCCTCGGAGTTCAAAATGATCTCGCGATAAACTAAGATTAGTGACAGCTTTTTAGTGATTATAAAGGGAGTGCTCTTTGTGCCATAGCAATGGACAGGGTAAAAATATGTCACAACAGATGTGAATTAAGGCACCCTTCACTATTTTCAGAAGCACCTTCAGTGATTTGATTCTGAGACCAGGCCTGGTGTGAACACTAAGCAAACCAGGACTAAATGCATTTTCTGCTTTAGAAAGCTGTCTGCACCAAAAGAACCAAGAGAACGACGGAACTACAAGTGTAAACACACCACTAATCTCCGATCAAATCATAAAGAGTTCATATAAGCACATCATACACAAATTCAATTTAAAGAAGGAACAATTTTATTATTTACCTCACCTATGTAACAGATTTTTTCTAAGCTAAGTAAATAGCTTAAAATACTTATTTTTAGAGTAAAAAGAGGCATACAAACTAGTGTGATTTTTGGCATCCATGTAGAATTTAGCAAATGTTCTCAATCTTTCTTTATACTGATGTAAATGTAAGGTGCACTGTAAAGAAGCAGATCTCCAGCAAAGCTCTTGTTCATTTTCTCTTTAGTCCCTCTTCTCCTTTTGCAGAATGAGCCTTGTGGACAAAGATGTGATGCTGCTTATCTCAGCAGAAGTAGCACAGAGGAACCATGGGAGAAGAATTGGCTGAGAAACATGAGCACAAACTGGTTGTGCTGTACAATTTGGGTTTTAAATGATTTAACACCTAATAACAGATTTAGTACAGTGATGAGAACAGTCTGACACATACAATATCTGTTTTAAGAAAAGTTTCTACATTTTTTATACGCATATCATTTTATACTATAATTTTTTCATGATATGCTGATATGTTACGTGCATACCTAATCTTAGCTCTTAGAAACGTACATTTATTCATGTATTTTAACAGTTGGATCCATTTCACGATGGACTTTTAATATAATGGATAATTGCATCCTTCCTGGTATCAGATGGATGTCTAAAATCTACATAGTCTAGGATTTCTCACATAAAATCTGACAAGAAAGTAAAGGTAATATCGTAATTAAAATAAAAGAAATAATGTAAAAGCAACTACAACAACAACAAAACAATTTAAACCATAGACAAATGCATATCAATGTTTTTATTATAAATAATGTTAACGTCACTGAATTTTTCCCACCAACAAATGAAAAAAAATCATAAAAGCCACAAAGCAAAAACAGTTGTAAGTTGTTCACTGAAGCACACAAGAAAAAAGAACAAAGACATAGCCACATGGTAACCAGTACCTTTATATTATGGAACAAATTTAGGTAAAAAATAAAATCATTGAACAGTTCCTTAAAAAAAATACTGCGATAAGGTACAATATTTATCTTTGTATAAATCAGATAACTTGATTTGTCTTGTCACTTTCCTCAGCAAGGAAATTTAAAGCACATTTGTGGCACTTTCTGTACATTATTATTGTCAACTTTATTATTATTATTACCACTGCAGTGTGAACTAGCTTGTTTCTACTGAATGACACACAGAGAACACCAGTTTTCTTACTCCATGTTGTGTTCATGTGACAGAACATGCTCCTGAGTGTATGAGAAGATTGCAAGATGGAAAACAAATTAAGCTCAAAATAAGCTCATTGCATACATTCCAAAGTGACCTTCTTTTCAGACCTGTTCAATAAATATCCTTCTGAAGATGCTGCATCATACTTAGATAGCAAGAAAAACTTTTGAATGTTGCACTAAAGGATTTGGAGTGTACTTATTTGATAGGACGTACATTTATCCAGAAAATACAAATATCACACATACAGTGAATTAATTGCTTTGCACTTTTTCAGATCTGAGGCAAACTCCAGGGATTGCTTGCAACATCAGGAGGAAGTCCTGTTATAACCGACACCGAAATGTTTGGAAAACCACAATTCTGCCAGCTGCATTGTGGATGCATAAGTGCTCGCTTTAGACCCGACACACATTTTGTATTGCTTAGGGTCTAAATGTGTGTCACACAGGACAGGGTGATAAATATGCACAATACCTGCTTCTTGAGAGCGAAACACTTTCAAGCCAGAATTAACGACTTTCGTGAACAAATCGACATCCTCTAAACCCCAGCCTTGTATTGAGGTGTCAAAACCCCCAGCTTTAAGCAAGTCACTTTTGAATATGCAGGTGATACCAAATCCATAATCTCGCCAGAATCCACTCTTCTTGGTGAAAACAAAGGCGCTGTCTTCAGGAGGGCCTCCAGCATAGACAATTTTGGGATCATACTGACTGAAGACGATAGGGAAATATATCTGCCTTCCTTCAACAGTGTTGTCTCGACACCTTTGGAGAGCATCAGCGTTGAAGACCAGGTCCACATCACAGAAAAACAGTAGTGAGTTGTTAGCCAGCTGAGAAGAGCCCATCTCAAGGGCGAGGCCTCGAGAAAAGCCTCCCATCATGGGTATGATAGAAAGGTCTGCTTTAGGATATCTGTTATGATATTCCTTTATCAGCTCTAGGTGTCTCTCCTTATCCTGGTTTGTATCACTGTCAACCAGGATTATGGTAACTTTCACACTCTGGATCGGGATCAGGCAGATTCTCTCAAAGTTTTCCATGAAACGTACAAAGACTTCATAGCGACCCGTGAGCGGTACAAGGAAGTGGATTTTTGTCTGACTTTGCTCTTGAACGTCTTTTGTGGATTCTGAGATCTGGAAGGAAGAGAAAATCTTGAGCGAGCTGGAGAGGAAAGAGAGCGAACGAGAGTCACCGTTGATGACGTCTACTAGGTCGCCAACATCCAGTTCCTCTGCCTCGCTGAAGAATGGTTTACTGAAGGACTGCTGAAGGTAAGCGTGTCTCCTCACTGGCACCGTCACTTTCCTACCCTTGTGCTTCTTGTAAAGCAGCAGAAGGTCCAAGATGTATTCGGCACCGTGAAGCGGATCCACCCTTCTATAGCCATACTGGATCTCCTTGAAGTCTATGATGCGGCCTCGAGTTTTGGAGTTCTCGTTGATCATCTCCATCACTTGAAGCACTGTATCTTCGAGCGCTGAGCGGACCAGGTTTCCAAGGCCTTGACGGGGCAGCTGCCTCTCGCTGGTGGAGTACAGGTGCCTGCCGGTCAGAAAATCCCACTCTATGACACCTCCCCGCTCTGTGGGGCGATAGCGTGTGTAGGACGGTGGTGCCCCCAGGAGCTGGTCCTCCCACTGCTCTGCAGCATTGCCGAGTCGGCTCATGGTGACGCCTTCACGGTGCAGCAGAATCGTGCGATACCGGAGCTGAGAGATCTTGCGGCTGAGCAGGTAGCTGTGCAGCCTGTATTGATAAGCTGGATGCTTGTTGGGGTGCAGCGTGATGGCATTGTGGATCTTGCTACTGTGAAGGTCCTGGATGAAACCTTTCTTGTTGTGCTCGTAGTTCTCATAGAACAACTGCTGCATCTGCAGAGAGAAAGATGAAAACAACAGGCAATTTGAGTAATAGTGACGTGTTTCAACTAGTGGTGTAACGGCACACGTATTCGTACCGAAAATTTTTGGGAAAAAAGGAAATTTCGACTATAAATGCCGTTTTGATGCTCTTTGATGTGGCGCGACAAGCTAGCTGTGTAAACGCCTCAGTTCTGACGGCAGCGTGAGGGAGCACGATCATCCCTTCATCTTTACTACTAGTTTTAATGTGAAATAAACATGAATTAACATCTCATGCCCATTGTAATCGCTTAATCAGTGTTTCACTCGCGGAAAGACGTGTTTAAAATGTCACGTAGCATTTCATTTACCTCAGGCAAGTCATCAGTGTCTAAAGCTCGTTATTTGCTAGAGAAATCAAGTCTAGAAATATTATATACTCATTGAATTTTACTTTACCTGTTAGTGATGTCTTAATTATTTAATGTAGGCTATATTGAAATATATCTCTTGATTATATTTCAACAACAAAAAGAAATTGTATAATTTAGATGTTAATTTAAAACTGTATTGAGTGCAATTTACATGTTTGCATACAAGTTTTTTTTATTTGAGTGTTGATTATTGTAGTTATAAATGAATAGTAATAAAATTTTAGTTTGGGCTCTTTCGTTAATTGTAGCCTTATTATAGCAAAAGGGCTCCCTATAGTTTAGAGCAGAGGTAGTTTTTTATAGATTTTTTTTATTTTATTTGGTAGATTTAAAGAAAATTGTAATTCTAATTGAATTTATTTAAGGAAAGAGAAAAACATTGTCTAATTAAAAAAATATTATGTTTAGTATTTTTTCCTCCTGCTGTACCGAAAACTTACCAAACTGTGACGTCAAAAGCGAGGTACGCACCGAACCGTCATGTTTGTGTACCGTTACACCCCTAGTTTCAAAACATCCAGTCAAAATGGAATTGAAGTATCTGGTTGAAAAAGCATGGAAACCTGTCCACCAGCACCTGTAAGTGCTTATTGAACATAACAGCTTCCACTCTTATGCGAAGACACGATTGATGAAGATCTTCCTCACCAGACACTGTAAACTACAAAAACCCTTACAAAACTGTAAGAATACAGTTTTTGCATTATCTGGTACAAATCCAGGTGTGTTAAACACAGTGTAAGGAAAACTGTGTTAGCATTTAAATGAGGTTTCAGAATAAAAAACCCTGCAATAGACTGATTTCTTAAAGACGAGTCAATAAAAATAGTTCTACAAGGCATAATTTTGAAAGTAGCATGTCTGTCAACATAGAAGATGGGCCTTGTTAATAAACATAATGTAAACTCTTATTGTAGGCTTACCTACAACAACGAAGTGTACTTTTAAATTTAGCTTAAGTGCATTTTTTTCAAAGTCCCATCAACTTCTTTATCACTTTAATCCCAATTGAGAGATCAAGCAGGGGCTGACTGTACCAAATAAATAAATACATGGACAAGAAATACAGTTTTAAGTTGGGTTTGTTTTATTATATTATTCTTATTATTATATTGTTTTTATTACAGCTACTATTAATTCACTGACAATGATCAGTTTTACAGTTACACAGAATGCAAATCAGAATGAGCAGTAAAATCACAATCAACTGTTGCAGAGATCTGAGCAACACTGTCTGAAGGTTTTGAGGACGCTTGTGCTGTCTTCCAAGACTTGTCTTTGCAATAGTGAGCAAACTCCTGATTACAACAGAGAATAGATACACCTGAACAACCGATGAAGTCATAATACCTCAAGATGTACTGCATCTTGTGCAATTATTAGAAATTATTCTTATTGCCTTTGGATTATTAGTTTTAACCCATGTGTTAGACTCGATGACTCATATTGTATGACACCTTGAACAGCACCAGCACTATAACTGCAAGTGTGCTGCTTTGATGTGCTTCTTGACATTCAGGACAAACATTAACACTTTTATTCTGACCTGCACTGAACTCATCAAACTCATGTGCATTCCTTTGCTCTGAAAGTCTCTGCCGACACGTCACTATTGATGTGCTTTTGTTGTCTGAGTGACTGATGTAACACTGGACACATTACTTGGCTGTGGTGTTTTTCCACAGTTTTCACACCAGAACTCCAGACATGACTAATCACAATCGTTGTCATTCTTCCAATGAGACGAGGCAAGTTCTCTGCAGTCATTAGAACTGTTCAGACACATACTTCCACAGATAATTAGGATGCCCTAAAAACCCTTAAGCTCTTAAGATTTTTTTTTTGTCACGAGTGAATTACAAAAAAAAAGCTTGCAACAAAGCTCCGATTGTGATTTTAATAAAGAAGTAAAGCTGAACATTCTCAAGGTGAATCTCTTATGACTCATTTCTAGTTATTAACAGCAGTTTCCTAATGTCATAAATGCTGATGTCTGCAACTTAACCCTGATCATTTGTCTACTGACAGGAGGTAAATGGAAAGCTGGCGCTTGGCTCTAGCACTCAGGTTATTAATGCTGCAGTCATGCAGTCGTCAGAGTTCAGGAGGTCCAGGATGTTTTGCATCAAGCATAAAGCAGCTAGTGTCTCCAGAGCAAAACTGTGATTCATACTCCACTCTGAAAAGCATGACTTTGTATTTGGTGTAAATGTAAATATGTGAATGCAAAACAAGCAAATGTGGCCCTAGATCAGAGACGGTGTAAGGAGTGAAATTATTTCCTCATGAATCCAAAACGTCAGGAACTCACACAAAACAGATGCCATGCAACAAAACAATAAAACTAATCTGGAGAAGAGATCTCCAAAGAGAGCAAACAACACCACCCCCCTTGCTCATTTACGACTCCCTTCTCCCTGTTTTTTTCTGCCTCTCCCTCTCACTCTTTTCCCCCAAAAGGTTTATACCACATATCATGGATCTTGTGAACCTGTTGTTTTCCCCCTTCATGTTTGGTATCGTTCTAAAGGTCTCTATGCAATTGGTAAAATGGTCTCAATTTCACAGTAGTCACTTATATTATGCAAAAGATTGAAACCTTTTGTAGAATTGTGTTCTGCTGAAGAAGAGGTGTGTCCCCTCAGGGTCTGTGAGAATGTTTATCTATCTCCAGCCAGGTGCGATCCTGGGTCATGAGAACCTAAAAAACCAAAAGGACTTTTATGTTTTTACAACATTCTTTGTTTCTTATCTGGGTATATAAGGGAAATGACAAAACACTACTTGGGGATTCTGTAGTCAGAAAACCCCCACAACGTATGTTAATCTGGAGCTCTGCACCAGAGCTCACATACTGCTGCATGTCTCTCTGCTGTCAGGTATGCATTTCATTTTTTATTCAAAAATTTAATTGTGTTAAACACATTGTGCTCATAGAACACACTTTATAGTTGTTTGTGCTACTACATGTGCGCATAGGCTAGTTAAGTTTATTCTTTAAAACACAATTGCTTTGCTGTAAGTGTTCTTTGAAATGCTTAGGTAAAAGGTTGTATATGTGCAGGAGCAGGGTTCACACGCGGCTACAATGTGATTCACAATTGCATTATCCTTTCTAAACTGGCTTCTAATTGTTTCATTATGTAAATGTAATGATACAATTTTACCTGACTAATAATAAATTGTTATATTTTATTTATTCTGATCTCCTCTGAAATCATGATTATTTCTAGTAGATTAAAATCGTAGTCTGGTGTTTCCACAAATCTGCGTCCAGGATAGATCATACCGAAGTACCAATGAATGAAGCGGAGACTCATCATTAGGGATCTTCTGATTTCTGGCTGTCACTGGCTTAACATGTTACAGTTTTTGTGATTATAGAGACAAAGTACACTTTTTGTAATGTGCTAGCAGGGTGCAGCCGACTTAAAGGTATTATAATCACCGTCTCCTCTGATTAAGTACAGAACTGGCGAGTTTGTGCCGTGCGTTCACTGTTGGCCAAGTGAATTGCTAAGCGACACTGGGTCGTTAATGAACGAATAATTGAGAGTATGGGATTTCCAGAATAATCAAATATCTAAATTAATATACAATCGATATTTGTGATCAGTTTTCAATTAGAAATATTGCCTAAATTTAATGATCACTTGAAATTGGAGTCAGATTGAACATGGAGATAGACTACAATTGAAACTAAATACTTATAAATCCAGAGGCGCAAGTAAAAGACTGAACACGCATTAAACCTTCAACCAGGCCGCTGGACTCCGCTTTTTGGGCCGGCGGGTGGATCCTTACAATGGGACACAGTAAACCCTCTCTGATGCATTAAACCTACCATGAAATATGTACAAGTCCATGTAATGAGCAGATAGAGAGAAATATATGAACCAATATGTGGAAAAGTAAGAGGAGAAAGTGTCAAGTCACTTTTATTTATATAGAGCTTTATACAATACAGACTGTTTCTAAGCAGCTTTACAGTAATAAACAGTAAACAATGCATCAGTGTTTTTAAAAGATTCTTCAGTTTGAGGAACTAGTAATTTTGGATTATATTTACAACTTCAATTTAAACCATCAAGCAGACCTACATACAGTATATAGTGTTATTACAGACAGGTTTTCTCTGTCGTTTTGACACTTTTCTCTAAAGAAATGTAATTGTTCTCAAAACAATTAACACAGCTATCTAAACACAAACTTATCTTAACCAAACAGTTGGTCAAAGCAATTATGATAAATGTGTAAACAATTAGGAAAACGTACTCTGTTACTAACGTGACCTCGGTTCCCTGAGATACGGGAATGAGTACTGTGTCTGCTAGGATGCTATGGGAAAAAGTCCTTTTTCTCTGATGACTGAAGCCTTTTCAATAACGTAGTGTAACTGCACGGCCATTGGTTCGTACAGTGAATTAAAAATGAACAAATGGCTCAGCAGCGGAGCTTCACGAGCCTATGGCGACGAAGCGGGGGCATCTGGCTATATAAGCTGGCAGTTCGCCATAGGATCCTCAGGTTACTTCAACTGAAGCGACGACTGAGTCGTGCAGCTACATAGCATGGGAAAGGGGGCCCAGAGGGACCAAGTATTTTGCAGGGAAGCCCCGCAGGAGGAAATAGGGCCAAGCTCACAGAGGTCAGCCCGGCCTTGAGTAATTATCCCAAGAGAATTATGTACAGCCTCGGTACTCAGTGAGGGCCAAGAGTGTACAAGAAGGAGGCAAACGCCAAACACTGGTTTGTCATATGTGACCCTGGATCACAAAACCAGTCTTAAAGGGTTAGTTCACCCAAAAATGAAAATTCTGTCATTAATTACTCACAGCGTATCCGCGTGGCTCATGTACATTACCATGCCAAACCCTCCGAGGGTTGTCATGACAGAAATACAGAGTTCTGGCATTAAACTCTAGATGGTGCAGTCCGACAGGTCTAACTCAATCGACCTAATGACATCATTATCACATGGCACAGCTGATTGCTCACAGCAGCATGTTGTGGATGCTTTCTCGGTACTCGCTCTACTTTCTCGGTGCTTGCTCTGCCGCAGCAGCAGCAGCAGCGTAGCAGATCTATTCCGCCAAGACCAAACAAATTAATATTGTCATGTACATTACCATGCCAATACCTCCGACAGTTGTCATGACAGAATTGTGTTTCCTGTGCTGTGTGTGTTATTAAGTGAGCAGTTATTAGTTTGGGGCCAACTGAAAATACACCATGTTCATTTGATGATATGACAAATTACAGAGTTTTGTTTGTTGTGTTTGGACAAATGGTACATAAATGTTTGTAATTTGTGCAAAACCTTTTTTCAGATATTTTAAAGTATTGGTTGGTTGTATTAGCTATTATGAAAACATTTGAGTTTTGCTCAGTCTTTTGAGAAAATCATTTGTATGAAATGAATGAAAATGTACAATCTGTTTAGGACAATTATAAAGTGTTCAGATCACTGTGTTAACTGTTTTGAAATTTGTGCAAAACCTTTTTTCAGATATTTTAAAGTATTGGTTGGTTGTATTAACTATTATGAAAACATTTGAGTTTTGCTCAGTCTTTTGAGAAAATAATTTGTATGAAATGAATGAAAATGTACAATCTGTTTAGGACAATTATAAAGTGTTCAGATCACTGTGTTAACTGTTTTGAAAACAGTGACCTGAGTTTGGAGAAATGTGTCAAATCGATTGAGAAAAACTGTAAGCTTAAACTTTCAGCATTCTCATTCAATAATCAATACATTTTTACTGAATATTGTCTTTAAAACTCTACCAGGAAATAGTAGAGAAAAAAAACACTTGGGAGAAAGTTTAGTCAGGGAGGCCAGTTCTTCTAACAGCGTGAACACAGCAAGTTACAGCACGTCAATGTTTTTGTAAATTGATCTTTTTGTAAATTAGCATTTTTATCAATTTAAAATAATTACTACAATAGCTCCTTCTTAAGGTGGCTGAGAAGTGCTAAACAAATCACAATTCTGAAAACAAAATAACAAATTACAAACGCAAATGCAAGTCTCACTTAGTGTAAATAGAATCCATTGCTAATACGAGATTTGAAAAGGGAGGAAAAAAAAGTTCGGCAAAAGGCGGGATCTTATACATAAGAGCTCATGAAAGAAGAGCTTTAGGTTTTGAATAACCGTGTATATACAAAAATATAATATTATGGCAAAAGTGTTTGCAACGTAGGGAAACAAATGTTTGCTTTTGAGATGTGTTTGTGATATTTTAATTGCAGTGCTTCATTTTGCTAGAGATGTGAAGCATTTTGTGTGTGCAATTCTTGGATTTGTGTGTAAAGTCTTGAAAAAAAGAGGCAAAGTTTTGAAAATGTAAGCAGTTGAAAAAAACTGTAAGATCTGAATTACATACCTGATTCACAAACAGTATTACGGTAATTACAACTTGGCGTGACCGCAGTACAGTATATACAGTATATACAACCCTATTGGTTAATTTGTTTCTTGTCTAGCTTTGTTATTGTAACTTGCTGTTGTTAAGTTGTGCTGTTTATTGTTGAGTCAAGTCTGTTCGAGTCTAATTCTCATTCTTCATGTCATGGTTTAGTTAGGTTATTTTTGTGTTTGGTTATTATGTTTATGTTTATTAAATAAACTGCACATGGGTTCTGTTGTAGTCCTGTTGTTTCTTCATAAATATAATCAAGTACAAGCACAAGTAATCAGTTTTTAAATGCACTTGAGTAAAGTACAAATCCCCCAAAATAATACTTAAGTACAGTAACCCAGTAAAATTATTCAAGTATTTTACACAAGGTTGGGAATTTTAAATCGATTCCAATTCTGGAATCGGATACGTAAGGTTAGGAATCAGATACTTGTTATATATTTTCAGATATACCAGATCGTTTTTTTTCCTTTTCTTTTACACGTCATCACTGAAGACCTGACCTGGTGATCTGAAAGGACCTTCTGCACTAATCTAAACATCAGTTTACATGATAGACTGCAGAAAGCGCTCAAAAATGTGGCTACATTTTGCAAAGCTTATTGTAATTAACTAATATGTTGCAAGAAAGGTGTTACCACCAATATGGCAAAGCATCTGCGGTTGGTTCACTGTATAAAATTACAGTTTTTCACAATCGATTTGACACTTTTCTCCAATGCAATGTACTTGTTCTCAAAACAATTAGCACAGCCATCCAAACACATAATTATCTTAACCAAACAGTTCAACTTTACTGCAAAATGAAGCACTGCAATTTTTTCTATTAAAAGTAAACATTAACATCAAATCTATAGTTGTGTTCTCTATTGAGTATAAAGCACATTCAGCTGTAGATGCACAGAGATGCTAATGAAAATACATGCTTATTGCTATTCATTTTTTTATATATATTGTGTATATCTAAACGAAATAAAAATTGTTATCCAACACCTGATATCACCCATGAGAAAAAACGAATGGCCCCTTTAAACTTAAAATCTGTTTGTGCCACCTTAACAGCAAGAACTGCAAATAAAATGTTCTGATGACTACAGATCAGTCTTTTACAGCACGGTGGTGGATATATATATATATTTATATGACTTAGCTGGTGAAAATACTAGTGTTCTAATAATTTTGTCCACCACTGTATACACACGTGTGTTTGTTTGCTGTATACATGAATTATCCTGAATTACTGTATTGATCTTGCCTTTCATTTGCATCTGGAAGAGAATTTAATTGCATTTTATCTACACTAAATATTTGCTGTGCTTGCATCATAGGAGAAAAAATGTAAGAAGGTTGAATCCATGCTTGACAAGCTCTTGTCTCAACATCTCCACAGGCCTCTTCCTTCGTGGCTGGTGATGTTGTTCTGATGTCCCCCCCTCCCCAGCTTTTCTAAAGGAGAGGCCATGATTTTTTACATGGTCAATTAGTTTAATTCTGATTTCATTTGAAATTCATCTGCACTTTCTACCTCTCCTTCCACCCTGTTGTCCACTTCCTCTCTGTCCATGTCTTCTTACAGTGTCTCCTCATGCTCTTTCCACTACACCAGTGCCCTCTTCTCAAATGATTATCTCTTCTCAAATTCCTTCTCCTCTCCTCTTTTCTCACATCTTCCTCTCTGCTTATCTCTTTCTACCTGTTCCACTCTGTTTTGTAATTTGTATGAAATGAATGAAAACATACAATCTGTTTAGGACAATTACAAAGTGTTCCGATCACTGTATTAACTGTTTTGAGAACAGTGACCTGTGTTTGGTGGACCTTGCAGGCACAGCTTGTCCAACATCTTAATACTTGCATGGTACAAGGTAGAAAAGACAAACAGTGCAAACTACTGTAAGGAAAGTTCTCCCAAATGATCTCCCAAGATCATTATCTCATAGTGATGGCACCCTACATCCTTAAAGAGGAATATAATGGATAAAATAGTGGCTGTCACTGACGACAATGCTGTGAACATGGATGTGGCAATAAAAAGGCTACAATTCATAAAGCTAGGTTGGTTTGCCCATACACTTAATCTTGGAGCTCAGAGTGACATCAGTCAGTACGTTTACATTGACAAAAATACTCAGATTTTAATACGATTAAGACAATACTCTGATTAAGAATCGACCATGTAAACAGAGATTTTTGATTACCTTAATCCGGCTAAAGTCATAATCGAAGTAAACCCTAATCAAATTAAGACATGTGGAGTATTCCTATTTTAGTCTCATTATTGAAGTGCAGTAAAGACATGTACACACCTTAATCACATTATTACCATCGTGTAGGACGTTTCGTTGCATTTTGCGACAGGATACACACAGTAGGACTTTTCGCCGCATTTTGTGACAGGATACACACACAGCAGTGCTCAACCGTTTGATGGCAAATAAAAGAGCATGGCTTCAACAACAAGCCAGTGACTATGTTTACATGGACATCAGTAATCTAATTATTTACCTTATTCTGAATAAGACAATATTGTGATTAAGGTGTTTACATGAGTTACTTTTAGAATGTTCCTCTCATGTTCCTGTTTTACATGTTTATAGTACATAGATCGATTATAATGGCACACGTCATTACGTCCCCACGCGACGCCATCCGACGTCCCCTCCATTTCACGTATAAACATATAGTCCGTCTTCGTTTTGGAGCCATATACAGTTTTGGCTTTTGGGTGTTGCATTTTTAATTTTACGAAAGCTTGAAGTGCAGTTAATTATTTGTCATGCTATACATGCAAACAGACGACGGCGTTTTAGGGTTAATTTTGTCAGCTATTTTCATTTTAGTCTTAAGCCCTATTCGCACGGGATTAGTATTATCTGGAGACCTTGTGTGATTTTTAAATTAACCCCCCTCCTCTGAATTTCGTGTGGTGCATTCGCACGGGATAAGCGAAGCCTGTGATTTTACTCGAATTTACCGACTTATCTACCGGATACCCGGATGTCAAGGCTTTGAGAGTCCCGTTCTATGGTCCAGATGGATTAAAAAAAAGAAAAGAAACGAAATACAGTAGGTCATTTGTGGGGGAATTTTTACTTTACAAATTACAGACATGGCCGATTCGCACGGGATTAAGATCACAGACAACCTCCGCAATTATTACAAATGACTGGAGGTCACCAGGTCATACTAATCCCGTGCGAATAGGGCTTTAGTCTTAGTCCCGGGCTAAAATGTCCTTGTCCTATTTAGTTTTAGTCAAGTTTTAGTCAACTAAAAGTCTCAACATTTTAGTCTAGTTTTAGTCCAAGAAAACCTGAAGTATTTTAGTCTAGTTTTAGTCGAAG